TTTATACCTAGAGGTAGGATTGCTGATCATATGCTATTTTAGATTTTTAATGAAGTTCCATACAATCTTCCATGATTGTATTAATTTTACATTCTTCACAAACAGTGTACAAGTATTGCCTTAGGAATTGTTTCTGATTGTTTTATTCCTGGTTTTTGTGTCACATTTTCTTTGGGTAGCTTATAATTTTTGTTAAGAAATGGATATTTTAATATAAGGTGGCAACTCTAGAAAGAATAGTCTACTTCTACTTGGGATTTTTTCCTGTTGCTTCTTAGTTACTTATTAGAACTAATGTTAGAAATTCTGTATTTCTTGTTGTGAGCTATTAAAGTCTGCTAAGTTCACCCAAAGACTGGATACAGATTTCCTTACTTGCATGGGACAATTGGTTTCCCAGACTTTCACAAGGGGCTTATATTAATCTTGAGACATTCCTTCAACTCTCGGATAGATAGTGGACAATTCTACCTTTTCCTTGCCTTCTTATAGAGAACCTCAAGGTCAGCTTAAAGTGAGAGCTCAGGTCTCTCCTTAGCATGCCATATCCTGAATATGTTATTCTAGAAGTGAAGTTTCTCCTCAAAGTCCTTTCTCAAGGACAGCCCACATTACTTGGAAACAATTGACTTTATTAATTTGAACACATTTGTTCCTGGTATTCTAGTCAGAAACTTCCCACAGTAACAGCTCTGGAACTGTAATATCCCCAAAATACTGAAAAGTGGATTTTCATATGAACATCATATCCAATGTGTCTACATAACCATATCCTCTGTTAACCCTTTTCATCATAAAATCACTAAACAACAGAGAAGTGGAATGGGAAGAAGTCTGAATCAAGTCAGTGATTGAGAGGATGAGGAATCTTTTTGGGGGTGGTTCAGGCAATCAAAGGAAAGCCTGAGACAAGCCTTAGACTGAATGTAGGATTACCGTGACAAATATGGCTTCCCAACAGCCTTAAAATGGTATACACTTGTGCCTGGTTGTGCTTGTCATCAAGGAGTCTAGATGTGCTTTACAGCACCATACTTCCATATACTAAACACCTGAGATTGCAAATCACTGATAAAATAATCATGAGTCATTGCTCAAATTTATATTTAGGTTATTACCTTGCTTTGTCTAACTCAATGAACAACAGGGAACTGCTTTGCAGTGAATTTTCTTTGTCCTCTAGCTAGTTGTTTCTGTCTTCCACAACCATATTAGAGCTTGCTGCCCATTTCCAGGGGGCATCAAATACTTTTAGAACTCAAAAGTTTCAAGTGTCTCAAAAAGACAGGAACATCAAGAAAACAAATCATATTACCTATGCTGGTGGACACCAAGAGAATGTTGAGAAATATGTACAATGGTGACAGTGATAAAATGAACTACCTCAGTCCTCAGGTAGTCTCTGTTTTGGGAAATATCCATACACAAAATAGGATTGATTTTATTGTTGACTAAGAAGGTATTGTACATGATGGTTGGGTCAGGGAATTATCAACAAAGACAATATGTGCTGCATTTCTGGTATATGGCATCGTACTGGGGACAGAAATAGTACTTTGATCTGTGTTATTAGAATAGTCATTTTAACAAATGGCTTCATGAGGAAATTGTCTTTGAAGAAGCAAATCATTCTTCATTATCACTAGAGTCCCATGCCATTTTCTAAAATGTCTATTTCTGAAGAGGAATTGGGGGTTATATCACTTTGGTATCATCATCAGGTATATTTATTACCTGAGTCAGTACCATGATTTTTCCCATATAATTCTCATGCATCAGTAACTTCAGTAGCAATTTAATTATCTTTCAAAATCAGACTGTTTACTCTAAAGACTGAAAAGTACAACATTTCTCCATTACCTTCCATGTCTTCAGACTTAGCAGATGTCATGACAACCAAGAAGCAAAAGGGGACCTTCCTTGAGACTTTTGCCTCACAGATCAAGTTCAGAGTGATTCCTTGTTTTATTCACTTTTCTGTCACTGAGACAAAATATCCAATATCCATAATTTAAAATAAAAGTGATTTACTTTGACTCATGGTTTTAGTCTGTGGTTGTCTAACTGTAAAGTAGAAACAGCATGGTGGAAGGACATGGTGGAGGAAAACTCTTAATCCCAAGGTAGCTAAGAGGCAGAGGGAGGGAGGAAGTAGAATATATTTTCCAGATAATGCTCCCCGTGACCCGCTTCCAACCAGGCCCATCTCCTAAGACGCACTTAGCTACTGAACTCATCAGAGGATGAACCCACTGATGAATATAGTGCCCAAATGATTCCATTACCCTCCAAGCACATAAGACTTTGGGGGACAGTTTACATTAAAACTACAACACCCATCCAAAGGAGCATGGGCCCAGCTAGACACATCTTTACAGGTTGATGTCGCACTTCTGCCTGTGTACTTCAAATCTGAACAAAAAAATCTTAATTAAGACTTGATTTGCAGAAGCCAGAGTTAAAACTAACTGAGACACCTATTCTCCTTACCTTAATACTATCAGAACCAGTGGCATTAATGTGAAGGAAACCTCCAATAGAAGATAAGTTCTCAAAAAAATCACCAAGCGTATGAGGAATATTAACACCATGAAAAACAGACTGAACAAACAGAAGACATTTCTCTAATGAAGAAATTGATTCAGAATGACATGGAAGAAGTTAAAAATAAAAATATTTAATTTTCTGTAAAAAGAAAATAGTAATTGTGAGATAAGTATAAGCTCTTTTGAAAGTCTGCCATATAAAAATTTTGAAAAAGAAAATGATACTCAAACATGTGAAGTTCAGTACATTAAATGACTCTTAGGCTTGGGAATAGCAAATATTGGAGCATCAAGAATAGAGATAATTGGATGTGAAAGCGATCTGGATGTGACATCTGTCTCTCCACTGATGCCAGGGTTGATTTAGCAGATCTGTCTGGCGAAGTGAGTGTTCCCTTCCTTTCTCACTGCTCCATGTGAGTCCCTCCTAAAAGTCCTCAGTTGACAAGGAAAAGCACCCTGATAGAGGGATCATTTCATTTCTTGGGTCAAGAGTAGATGAGTAGCTGTGGTGCCCTACCAGAACCTCCAAACAAACTCTTTAGAATAGAGAAAATAACCTAGAAGAAAATAAAGATATTTTAGATAAAAGACTGAGAAATAGACTTAAGATCATACTTTTAGTCAAGTGTTAAATATCAAAAGGGTATAAATAATTTTAATTTCCTAAGTCTATGTCAACTAAGGTGTTTGGCTAACCATATGTATATCTGACATAACAATAGCTCTGAATTGTAATCAGTAAATTTCTGATTTTTAAAAAATTAAAGATCCTCTCTGAATGAAATAGGTGTGTGGGAAAGCTTTTATTTTTAAAAATCTCATATTTGCATGGAAACACCATTTAAGGATAGACAGACTTATGAAAATTACGGTGAGTTACTTTACTATATTTAACTGGTATTTGAATGTATAGAAATATCTCTGGTATTTGAGTGTAGATTGGTCTTATAATAACCCCACATGGAAAATTAAAATTAATTTACTTTACTTTTCAGTTTTAAAAGCTTGATTTTTAACTAATTAAGGAATTAAATTTCTGAATGTAGGTGTTTTTAGAGAAAAGAAAGTACACAGTATTATGCACAGAATCATATTTCAAAAATAAGTGAATGACTGGCTATGTGAAAGTTTTTTAACCCCTTGAAATGTTGCAAATTTCATTTAATTCTGATATCATGAAGAATAAACAAAATTCAATAGAAGCATCAAAATGATCATAACTATACTAAAAAAATCTAAGACCCAGCACTATTTAAATGTGATCATAACAATGCTTAAAATGTGGTTTGGGGCAGGTCAATGTTAAATTATAAATTGATAACTTTAGTTCTCTTTCTTCCATTCATGAGTATTCGATTCGTGGAAAGTTCTAGCTCTGAATGAGAGAACACCAATAAGAGAAAATTTATTCTTTCCAATTTCTCTAATTAAGGACTAAAGATTTTGTCACTTCAAAATAAACTTTTCTTTTCCACTCAAAATAGCCATATAATGTGGCATTTTGGTTGATTCCAGATTTACTTGGTTGCTGCTAACACAGACTTGCACAGTAACATTCTTCTTTTCCCTTTAGAACTTCCCATTCTTGTACATCTTTTAATTGCAGTGTAGGAGGTAGACTCCAGGTGCAGATGGAAATTTTTAACCCCAACATAACTATAAATAATTCTAAAACCTGTCAGATAGTAATATGAAGGAAGAAATCAAGACAGAAAGCAAACAAAATATTTCCCTCATCTACTATTATCTATATCTTTATCTATGTATCTATAGGTTTTCTTGTCTTTTTTAGAAAGAGTTTCACTATGCAGTTTAGATTGTTTTTGAAGTCACTTTGTAGCCTAGGTTGACCTTGAATTCACAGGGATCCTCCTGACTCAGCCTCCAAAGTGCTGGGATTACAGTTGTGCACCCACACCAGCCCAGTCACAATAGATAGATAGATAGATAGATAGATAGATAGATAGATAGATATAGATATAGATATAGATATAGATATAGATATAGATATAGATATAATTTGGTACTGGGAATTGAACTCAGGTCTTGTGCTTGCCAGGCAGGCACTGTGCTGCTTCTCTATATCCACAGCCCAACTACATATATTAAGACTGTCAGAAACTCCACTTTTCAATAAAGCACTGGGACATCATACATCTGTGTACTTTCTTAACTTTTAAAAAAGGCCTTCAGGTGTTTAATGTCAAAATTTACAAACCAAATAGTCATCCCACCCCATACCTTTCCAAAAAATGTTTCATGCAAAATGCAAAGCACACTCGGTTATTTAAAATGGCTTAGGTTAAACTTTCTTCAGTCATCATACTAAGGAGCTCTAAAGTGTAATTATCTTAAAAGTGACTTGCAGTGTTACCCTATACGTTGGATGATTTTGTGTCAAACGTAATAATGTACAATGTGAAATATTAATTTCATTGTCAATACAGAGAATGAATTAAATATTTTATTTGAGTGCTATGCCAAAAGAGATCGTGAATTACTATAACTTAAAGAAAGCACATTTATAACAACTTCAATAATGATGTGCAAAACTGCTTTAGGGATACAATAATGCGTATTGTACAGATATATTCAACAAGATAACATAAAAGTAGTGCTTTCAAACTCTGTTGAGTTTGCCTTGAAATACAGAATTTGAAACACATTCCTACACATCTTTGAAAACATTACATTATAGGTAATAAATTTTGTTCTCATATTAGTAAAAGAAAAAGAGACATTATGATTCCATGAGAACACAGCAAACAGATGAAAACAAGAACATGAATTAACATGTAACTACATAAAAATAAAAATATATTAAAACACTGTTCAATACTGAACTAAAGATTTTTGAATAAAAGGAAATACATCCATAGAGAAACACTACCTTCCGATCCTAATGAAACATAAATTATTTCTGTAATTGATATTTTGCAACAGTCCTCTTCAGTGTCTTGAAGTAGGTTATTGGAGATAATTGGTTTCAAAAATTTGAACTCACCAGTTTCAGAGTCTCCAGTGAGACACACCTCATATTGGTAGCTGTGGGCCAGGGTCCCTATGACGCTGATTTGGGACGATAACATGTAAAGAAGCACACTGAAGTAGCCTTGAGCCAGGGACAGTTCAATTATAAAACACAAATATACTAAGCCACAGGTTGTATCCCTAGCATTACACTAAAAAATTACAATTGAATTTTATAAACTGAAAGGTAAAAATTCAATGCATAAATCCCTTATAAGAGAAAAATCAAAGCTATATCTAAAGGTGAAATGTTTCTCCCTAACACTTCTATAGCTGAGTCATTTAGGAATAAACGGCAGAAAACATAGCATCATAATCAGTCCACTACTGGAACCCAAAACTGTTCCGGACAGCAACGTTTCCTTCTGTTTCTGCCCCAGCACTCTGGGGTGGGAGGTTGGGGGAAAAAGGCTCCAGGAATTTGAACTCACCAGTCCCAGAGTCTCCAGTGAGACACACCTCATACTGGTAGCTGTGGGCCAGCGTGCCCGCCCCGCTGACGTCCAGCAGCTGGCCCGGAAAGGGGCCCTCGGGCGCAGGGCAGCCAGGCAGCGCGGCCCGCCCGCTCCTCCCGCACAGCCTCAGCGCCACGAAGAGCAGCAGCCAGCACAGGAAGAGCGACGACACCGAGGCCAGCGCCACCACCAGGGGGCCGGTGAGCGGGTCGGCCTGCGCGCGCTCGGCCGCCGCCTCGGGCCCAGGCAGGTGCGGCTGCGAGAAGCCGTCCACCAGCAGCACGTGCAGCGTGACGCTGGCCGACAGCGGCGGCTGGCCGTTGTCCCTGACCAGCACGAGCAGCCGCTGCCTGGGCGCGTCGCGCTCGCCCGGCGGCCTGGCGGTGCGCACCTCGCCGCTGTGCGCCCACACGCTGAACAGCCCGGGCTCGCTGGCCTGCAGCAGCTGGAAGGACAGCCAGGCGTTCTGGCCCGCGTCGGCGTCCACCGCCACCACCTTGGTGAGCAGGTATCCGGGCTGGGCGGCGCGGGGCAGCAGCTCGGTGCAGGGCGCGGACGCGTTCTGCAGCGGGTGCAGCACGAAGGGCGCGTTGTCGTTGGCGTCCAGCACGCGCACGCGCACGCGCGCCTGGCCGCTGAGCGGGGGCGCGCCGCGGTCGGTGGCGCGCACGCGGAACTCGAAGGCGCGCAGGGCCTCGTAGTCCAGCGCCCGCAGCGCGAACAGCTGGCCGGTGTCGGCGTTGATGGACACGAGCGAGGCGAGGCCCGGGAGCGGGTCGTGGGGCGGCGGCAGCAGCGAGTAGGTGAGCTGGGCGTTGGTGCCCGAGTCTGAGTCTGTGGCGCTGACGCTGCCGATGTGCAGGGCGGGGCTGTTGTTCTCGGGCACCGAGAGGGTGTAGGAGCTTTGGGTGAAGGTGGGGGCGTTGTCGTTGACGTCGGAGACCAGCACGGTGATGGTGTGCTGGGTTTTCAGCCTGGGCGTCCCCAGGTCGGTGACGGTGATGGTGATGTTGTACTCGGCTGTGGTCTCTCTGTCCAAAGCTGTGTTTGTCACAAGTGTGTAGAAATTCTCTACGGATGGTTTCAGCAGGAAAGGGAGATTATTCGGCACAGAACACTTCATTTTTCCATTTTCTCCAGAGTCTGGATCTGAAACACTGAAAACAGCCACCACAGTCTCTCCAGAGTTCTCAGGGATAGGACTGTTGACTGAGGACAAGGTCAGTTCTGGTGCGTTGTCATTCACATCAAGCACTTGAACTATGACTGTGGATTTTCCTGAAAGACCTCCACCATCTTTAGCCTCTATGTCGACTTCATAAGTATTAATTGCTTCAAAATTCAAATATTTGATTAGTAGTATATCACCAGTAATTGGGTTTAATAGAAAAGTTTTGAGAACTTCTTCAGAAGCATGAAAAAATGAATATGACACTGCTCCAAAAGTTCCTGTATCTAAATCAGAAGCCGATACTGTGAGAATGACAGAATTAATAGTTCTGTCCTCAAGAATCTGAACCTCATAGAGTGACTGTTTGAATTCTGGGGCATTGTCATTTATGTCTAAGACCAGGATTTGAATCTGGGCTGTCCCCGACCGTGGAGGTGAGCCTCCATCCAGCGCCGTGAGCGTTAAGCTGAGCTCGGGCTGCTCCTCCCGATCCAGTGCTTTGTCTAACACCAATTCTGGGTACTTCCTTCCATCCCTCCGACTGCGTGTAAGAACGTGGAAGTGAGCATTAGGAGAGATCGTGTAGTTTTGAAGACTGTTTCTTCCCACATCTAAGTCCTCAGCATTTCCCAAGGAAATGACTGTCCCTGGTGAAGAGCTTTCTAGGATTTTTACTTGCATTTCATTTTCAAAGAATACCGGAGAATGATCGTTTACATCTATGACCCTGAGTTCATTTGTAATAAATTGCAGTGGGTTATGCAGTAATATCTGAAAATGCAGTATACACGGCTCAGTGGGACCACATAACTCCTCCCGGTCCAATTTGTTACTCAGAAATAAGTCACCAGTTTGATGACTGAAGTGAAAAAGCAGTTTGTTCCCTTTGGAAACAACCTGGGTATTCCTTGTGGCCAGTTCCTCTACCCCTACTCCCAAATCTTTTGCTAGATTCGCTATTAAAAAACCCCTCTCATTTTCTTCAGCCACGGAATAACTTCTCGACGCGAAATCAGCCAGAGACCCACCCAGTAAAACAAAGAGAAGCAAGACTTGCCTTTGTTTAAGAAAGTGCTCCTTTCTTGTCTCCATTGTACAGTCTACCATGTTCTTCCAAGGAATATCGTCAAGTCGAACCTCAGACACTACTGGGTAGCGAAAAGGCTTTTACGCCGAAGCCTGGAAAATAGTCCCTTCCAGAGGCTCAGATTTGCTTGTTTAAAAATCTGCCCAGGCTCACAGACCCTAGTTTACTGCAGTAGATCCGTGTGTACTTCAGGAGTAGGGTTAGCAAATTTGCTTTTTTTAGTCAACAGCGCCACCATGCGTTCGCTTGCAGTTTTAAAATCTTTGAAAATTTAATGTTCAATATTTCTTTAAAAATTTGTAACTGTTGTATTACAGTTCCTTTTAGCATACTCGATTAGGCTACTGTAATAATTTCTCTTATAACATGACTTAAACAGAACATAGGGAGTAACAGTGTTCTAATTAAATAAAAATCATGTGTTAGTCTAACTTTCGTATTTCTACAGTTACCAGAAATGTTATATGCTATGTGTAATTGTTATTGTAAAAAAGAGAGGAAAAGAAAGTGATCTAAAGGATATAACTGCATGTATATTTAAGAGTGTAAGATAGAAAACCATATTACTAAGTTTTTGTTGGATCATTGAACAGAACTGTTTGCAATCTCACTGTTTGAATGTCCACTTTGTATGCCTTAATTTTGTAATTTGAACAACTATTTCTAAGATGACAATATGTAATCTATTAACTAGTGATTTCTTACTGTATATTTTTTTCTTAAAATTCTGTATTACTTGTACCTCTTTATTGTTTTGTTTTCTCTTTAAATAAAAATTTTAAAAAAAGAAATGTTATATGCTGGCTAATCTACTGAGCTTACTCTTAATGTTAGTGACACCAAAAATAACAGCATTTACACTTCTATACTTTATACTATTTTATTTTATCATAAAACTGCAACCTATTGAAATAGCTGTTACCATGGGGTAGGAAGAGAGGAAGAAATGTGACTTACCCAAACCCTACAGTAAATCATTTTGGCTGATCAATGATTTTCAGTACCAAAAGTTGTTGTATGTTACTGCTAATTTCAAAGTGAGACCTTCAAAATTCATATTTCAGTTTAAATAGTACAATTTCGTATTTTAATTTAAATAGTACACATTCAAGTATACATAAAATGAGAAAATTTAAAGATGGGTGAATAACATTGAGAATTAAAATTGGTTTTAACATGGTCAAGAAATTAAATTGTAAGAAATGAAGAAAGGTGTAAGAGTAATCTACAAAAAAATCTATACAAATATACTTAAATTATAAAATTAAATGCCAATTTCCCCATCTATATTTTCTAGGCCTGTGAGTAGGATAAGATCATGAAATTAAACCACAAGAGGAAAAAGAAAAGATGTGTTGAAGGAAAGACGTTAAGGGAAAATGACCACATAATGCTAGAGTAACAGTGACCAGTTCATTAAAAACACAAAATTAGATAATTGATTGTACAACAAGGTGCTAAGGTTCCAGTTAATTTTCTCATTATGCATTTTACTATATTTAAATATCAATATATCAAGATGAAATACTCTTCTTTTAGTCATGTGTTCTTTTATTAAGAACTTAAAATGTTCTAGTGGCTGTGTTAATCATGGAATAAGCATGTAGCATATTGATCAGCATACTCAAGAATATTTGATAAAAAGTATTGAAAAGCCCAGGTAGGTGAAGAGAAAAGACAGAAGTTATCAGTACAAAAGATAGAGTGCATAGATGTAGGTATTCCTTACAGTACTGCACACAGGTTTATTTCTACCTAAATTCTAAATTCTCTGGAATATTCTTAAAAATGAAATGCCAGGATACTTTGAAAGTTGCTAAAAGGACAAAGACATATTCTCCCTTTATTTTTTCATTTTAATGAAGTGTTCAGAATTAATTTCTAATGATTGAAACAGATTTTAAGGGGGTATTAGAAAAACATAGAGTTTTTAAAGGACATTTTAAACAGAAAATATGAAAAATCAGTATACCTCTGGAAGTCACTAGACATGTACTATTAAACCACATATGAGCAAATGGCTTTTCCCCATTACTTGGGATTGAAACCATGGAACCCTAGGTACAGTCTCTGTTTAAAATTTTTTTTTTTGTCTTTTTCCTTTTTATCGGTACCGGGGATCAAACTCACGACTGCCTGCTTGCAAGGCAGGTGCTTATGCCAGCCCCTCTGTTTAAATTTTTATTTTTTTTGAGAAAGTTCTTGCTAAGTTGCCCATGATAGATTCAAACTTTTGATTTTCCCTTGTCAGCCTCTTGAGTAGCTGAAATTACAGGCCTTGAACACCTTGATTTAGTAAATAATGTTTGTAAAAATTTGTTAAGCATAAAAAAATTTTGTTAGAATTCTTCATTTAAAGTACTCACAATGTCTAAAGAGTCAATTTTCATATTTTGACTTTTAAAGTATTTTTTAGACCAAGGAGGGTGGTTGTTTAGGTTATTAACCAGTGTATTTATGTTAGTGGTTTATCTGTGTGAGTTCATGTGATAAAAGTAACAATAGCCTGAGGATATACAACAAACATTTGTTTGGAAATGCTGGAAGAACTTAATCCATGTAACAATAGCAGATATTGCAGAATTTAGAATTTCAGAATCACCTAGAAACTGGGCAAGGTGAGTTTGGGGAAAAGAGCTCTAACTTAAAAATTGGAATATTCTGGCCAGGACTGGTAGCACAGGCCTATAATCCCAGCACTCTGGAAACTGAGGCAGGAGGATTGCCAGCCTGGGCTATATAAGGAATTTCAAGGTGAGCCTGCACTACATAATGAAATTCTTGTCTCAAAAGAAAACAAACGCCCCCAAAATGGAATATTCCTCAAAGTACAGCATTTACTCTCACATTTTAAGTTAAAGACATACAAATCAAAGTAGGAATGCAAAGAAAATGTTATACTACTACTGCTCACGCCAACACATATATTTAGAAATACTCGTAACACACACTCAGAATTGGAATAGGATAATTACTTGGTAGAATTTTTTTAAATTTCCAAAAGGCAAAGCAATAAAAACAGGACTGTCCATAAATGCACTGAGCCCAAGCGCATACATTCTTGTTAGTACTTAACTGAATTCAAAGCTATTCCTGAAATTCGGGTTTTCATCACTAACCCTCTCCAAATCTTGACCAAGGAGGATGGGGATAATAGGCTTCAGAAATTTGAAATCGCTGGTCCCAGAGTCTCCAGTGAGACACACCTCATACTGGTAGCTGTGGGCCAGCGTGCCCGCCCCGCTGACGTCCAGCAGCTGGCCCGGAAAGGGGCCCTCGGGCGCAGGGCAGCCAGGCAGCGCGGCCCGCCCGCTCCTCCCGCACAGCCTCAGCGCCACGAAGAGCAGCAGCCAGCACAGGAAGAGCGACGACACCGAGGCCAGCGCCACCACCAGGGGGCCGGTGAGCGGGTCGGCCTGCGCGCGCTCGGCCGCCGCCTCGGGCCCAGGCAGGTGCGGCTGCGAGAAGCCGTCCACCAGCAGCACGTGCAGCGTGACGCTGGCCGACAGCGGCGGCTGGCCGTTGTCCCTGACCAGCACGAGCAGCCGCTGCCTGGGCGCGTCGCGCTCGCCCGGCGGCCTGGCGGTGCGCACCTCGCCGCTGTGCGCCCACACGCTGAACAGCCCGGGCTCGCTGGCCTGCAGCAGCTGGAAGGACAGCCAGGCGTTCTGGCCCGCGTCGGCGTCCACCGCCACCACCTTGGTGAGCAGGTATCCGGGCTGGGCGGCGCGGGGCAGCAGCTCGGTGCAGGGCGCGGACGCGTTCTGCAGCGGGTGCAGCACGAAGGGCGCGTTGTCGTTGGCGTCCAGCACGCGCACGCGCACGCGCGCCTGGCCGCTGAGCGGGGGCGCGCCGCGGTCGGTGGCGCGCACGCGGAACTCGAAGGCGCGCAGGGCCTCGTAGTCCAGCGCCCGCAGCGCGAACAGCTGGCCGGTGTCGGCGTTGATGGACACGAGCGAGGCGAGGCCCGGGAGCGGGTCGTGGGGCGGCGGCAGCAGCGAGTAGGTGAGCTGGGCGTTGGTGCCCGAGTCTGAGTCTGTGGCGCTGACGCTGCCGATGTGCAGGGCGGGGCTGTTGTTCTCGGGCACCGAGAGGGTGTAGGAGCTTTGGGTGAAGGTGGGGGCGTTGTCGTTGACGTCGGAGACCAGCACGGTGATGGTGTGCTGGGTTTTCAGCCTGGGCGTCCCCAGGTCGGTGACGGTGATGGTGATGTTGTACTCGGCTGTGGTCTCTCTGTCCAAAGCTGTGTTTGTCACAAGTGTGTAGAAATTCTCTACGGATGGTTTCAGCAGGAAGGGAAGATCTTCTTGGATGGAGCAAACTGTCTTTCCGTTGTCTCCAGAGTCTGGGTCTGAAATACTGAATACAGCAATTATAGCTTCCTGCAAATTTTCCGGTATCTCACTGGTAAGTGTGGACATGGTTAGGTCCGGCGGATTGTCATTCAAATCCAGCACTTGGATAAACACTACACAATTTCCAGAAAGGCCCCCACCATCTGTCGCCTGAATATTTATTGTGTAAGTCTGAACTGTTTCATAATCCAGTTTCTGTTTCAAAAGGAGTTCTCCCGATTTTGCATTTATTTGAAAAGTTTTGCGAATTTCTTCAGAGGCTTGGGAAAATACGTATGATATTTGTCCATAGGCCCCAATATCTAAATCCCTAGCAGAGACAGTAGCAACCTGGAATCCTAAAGGGCTGTTCTCTGGGATCTGCACCTCGTAGAGCAGTTTCGTGAATTCAGGCGCGTTGTCATTGATGTCCAACACTTCAATGAGGACCAGGGCGGTGCCGGATCTGGGTGGCGTCCCGCCATCTAGGGCTGTGAGGGTTAAACTGATCTCAGGCTGTTCTTCGCGATCCAGTGCTTTGTCTAGCACCAGCTGTGGTACTATGCCTTCAGAACTGTCGTGTAATTTAAGATGAAAGTAGAAATTGGGGCTGATTGTATAATTCTGGAGACTGTTGCTTCCTACATCTAAGTCCTGGGCACGTTCTATTAGGAAAGTGGTGCCAGGAGTGATACTTTCTGAAATTTTTAAAATTATTTCTTTGTCTAGGAACACTGGAGAGTGATCATTTATGTCCCTAATCTGTAGCTCGGCCTGAAAAAACTGCAAGGGATTTTCCAGTAACACTTGGAAAGGTAACACACAGGGTTCGGTGGGGCCGCAGAGCCCCTCCCGGTCCAGTTTCTCATTTAACAATAAATCCCCGGTCCATCTATCTAACTGTAAACTCATTTTTTTCCCCTTGGAAACAACCCGGGGGCCCCGCACCGCTAGTTCTTCTGCCTCCAGCCCCAGGTCTTTTAACAAATTGTATACAAAGGAACCGCTTTCAGATTCCTCAGCCACAGAATAGCGCCTAGGCTCAGAGGCAGCCAGTGCGATGCCCAGAAAAACAAAGAATATTAGGACTTGCCTTTGTCTCCGAATGGATTCCTTTCCGTCTCTGGCCTCCATCACCTTCTGATTCCCAGCTCACGTTACCGCTGACTGTATGTCCAAATATCTCGCAGCAATACTTGGGTAATTGGAAAATCCTAGTCCCCGATATTCTGGAACAATCGCGGTAGAAAGCCTCTTCTTCCTGCTTTGCTTCTTTATGAATTGAGTATCTGTGTGAAATAGCTGGGTGTTCGCTTCTTAGTTCTACTTTTAAGGCTGCAGCGCCACCCCGCGTCCTTTCAGAGCATTTGTTTTCTTTAAAAAGAAAATCCCAACGCTTTCTGGAGATTAGACTGCTTAAATGGAATATTTTCAGTTAGTGTTTTCTCATGTACTGAAGTCTTGTCTTCGTTTCAAATGGCTTTCATTTAATCTGTACTGATACGAGAAGCATAGATAAATCACTCTAGTTTTCTCATAGATCCAAGAGGCTCTGAGAGAAAAATCAAACTTAGAAACTGAAGAGTGACCTCAGACCTACAATTCAATAGAAAGAAGACTTTGGCTAGAAAGTTGCAGGGTTTTTACTCAGATATTTTACATATGCACATATGGGTGGTGGTTAGGTTATCAGTCTTACACAAATATCCAACCGAAAAGCACAGAGACCCAAGAAAAGCCCGGAATTCAACAAGAGCATTCTGTTGAACACTGACATATTATTACTTGTGATTCTTTCTCACGTTGCTCCTATTTCACATTACCCTAAATTTTGGTGGGATTGAGCCTCATGAAAACTCTCCAGGAGCAGCCATATAATTTCTTTTTGTACATATGTGAAAATTTTTATTTTCCTAAGAGATCTAATATTTTGTATAAACTCAATCCAGTTGTCACATCTATCAAGTTCAGTAATATCAATTATGCAATAAATGCTAAAATGTCCTCAATTATTTTTGAAGTGTCTTTAAGGAGATAATTTTCTAAATTCTAAACTATGTATGTTGCACTTTATTGTCAAGTTTTTAAAGTTACTGTCCTTAAGTCTTACAGCTGGGCAGTACATTATTAGTTTCTCACTAGCTTTGCTTCAAATAACACCTTTGCTACATGGGCTATAATGACAAAAACTGCTTGGGTTTACTTTTAAGGCCTTGAAAACTCTTTTGCTGAAAACACTGACTCTTCCTTTGGGCCTGTAGATGTCTGATGGTGAGTGGATGAGGATGAAAATTCTTGACATCTCTGTCTTCACATTGTGTATCTGCTTTTTTAAAAAGTAATTTTATTGGTACAATTTAGGTATACATACTGACTACATTCATCATAGGGAATTTGTACCTGCACATGATATGTGTTAGTTCTTCTTTTTTCCATGCCCCCCCTTCAGCTCTTATTCCCCTTATTTATAAAGTTTTGCTTCCATTTTATCCTTTTCTTTCTCCTTTTCTCCTTTCCCTTCCTTCCACCCCCACCCCAGTTCCCCTTTCCTTTTGAACAGTTTCTTCCTATTTCCTGCAGTGGAAAAGCTGATATGTGAACAAGGCTCCCTCCGCCTTCTTTGCCCACTGACTGAATGAAGCCTTTCTTTCTCCCTTACATTTGTCTCTTGGAAATTGGTTTTTTGTGGAATGACTTTCTGGGCCTGGGCGTAGCAACACTATCATACCTATGAAAATTAATAATAATACTTCAATAGTATTTTTAAAACAATACTTATTAAATCTCAATTATCCTTTCATTATCTTCCTCTAGTGTCTTCAGCTGTAAAAAGGGGCCACATGTGCTGTTTAATTCCCTTTACAAGTGCAATTTTCTTAGATATTTGTTCTAAGTATTGTGTCAGAAACTGTTTAACCACATACTGTGACTATAGCTGGTATTGTGTCTGTTGACTCTAGAATATTCCCACACTCCTCTTATGACATTTACTTTTTTGAAGTATCCAGACAAGTTGTCTTATGCTATGTCCTATAAACCAGATTTGTTTGATTTTTTTCCTCATGGTGTTATTTAACTTGTGTTCCCTTCTATTTCCAGAAGACTGGAATGAATGATTTATTAAGTATAATATGGTATAACATTTTTATTGTACCATTTAAGCTAGTGGAATAATTATATCATTTAATTATGCCATTTAAATTAAGCTATCATTTAATTTCTGTAATTGTACAAAAAAGAATTGTGCAACCACAGGGTTCCTTTCTTAACATTTAGAAAGATGTGGAATTCTAACAGGGTCCTTTCTTAACATTTAGAAAGATCCCTGATTCTATCCTGTTAATATCATTTTTCTCATGATTGCTATTTCTTAAAAATATTATAATTCAAAACATCTTAATTTATTTTCATTGAGTGCTACATATAATGAATCTAAGTCAATAAAACCCAACACCCAAAAGTTGAAAAATAATTATTTATACATGTTGCACCATTTTAATATATAATGAAGATCATTCACATCATAAAGGTAGATGATGACTAGTAAGCCACTTGAAATTTTTCATTTACCCAAGCATACTATTTATGTTTTGGTAGGTTCTCTGGACTAAGCACTTATGATAAATATGAGATAACATAAAGGAGAGGAAAATAAATAATGTATAAAATTACATCTCTGCCACCTCTCACATGTTGAAGAATAACATTTTTGTGGTATTGGGAATTGAGCCCAGGGTCTCCACACAGAGCTAAGTCCCCAGTCCTTTTTAATTTTTAAAAATAGGATCTCAATAAGTTTACTAAGTTGTCCAGGCTCAAGTGTGTGATCTTTCTGCTGAAGTTTCCTAGAGTACTGGAATTATAAAATCCCTGGCTTTAATGATTAATATAAATGATATATAAAATAATACTCAAGCACATATTAGGTTTTATTGTGCCAAATTTTTTGAAGCTTCCCATTTTAACCCATGTGTATTTCCATAATTTATTAGATTGGCTAAAAATTTTTCCACTCTGTGGGTTGTTTTCATTCTGTTAGTGATTTCTTTCAGTATACAGAAGCTGTTTAATAAGATGATATTCCAGTTACTGACTTTTGAAGTATTTCCCATGCAGTCTGTATTTTGTTTATGAACTCTCTGCCTACTTCCACATCCTCAAAATTTCTACCTGCTTTCTCTTCCAATAGAGTTAGTGTTTCTGTTTTGATATTTAAATATTTGGTCCATTATGACTTTAATTTAATGCATGGTGATAGACATGGGTCTAGTGTTAGTCTTCTGCGTGTAAAAAGTCAATTCCTTTCAGCACCATTTATTAAAGAGGCTTACTTTCTTCCAGTGAACATGTTTGGCACCTTTGTCAAAAATAAGGTGGCTGGCTGTGTTTGGAGTTGTATCTGCATCTTCCAATCTGTTCCACTGATCCTCAACTCTATTTTGTTTGCTTATTTGTTTGTTGCCAGTACCATGCTGATTTTATCAAAGTATCTTTGTAGTATAATTTCAAGTCAGGGATTGTGATGACCTGAGTTGCCTTTGTTGCAACTGAATTTTAGCCAATTGTCCCCTATACAAAGGATTTATATCTGGAACATATAAAGAACTGGAAAAAATCAGATTCCCCTAAATTCAAGTACTCAATCCAAAAATGGGAATGTGAGATGGATACTTCTCTCATGAAATACAAATGGCAGATAAAGATATGAAAAAATGTTTAACATCATTGGTCATTTAAAAATGCAAATCAAAACAACACTGAGATTTCATCTCACTCTAGAAAGAATGGCTATCATCAAAAAATCAATCAACAACAAGTGCTGGATAGGCTGTGGGAAAAAGAAACTCTTGTCTTCTGTTGGTGGAAGTGCTGACTGATGAAACCACTATGGAAATCAGTATGGATATTCCTCAAAAAGCTAGGAGTATAAGTCTCATTTGACCCAGTCAGTCTACCTTTGTGTATCTTTCCAGAAGAAATAAAAACATCATACCACAGCAATATATGTGCACCTAGGTTTATAGCTACACAATTTAAAATGAATGATACATAATACTATATACTATATTACACTTAAATTTCTTATGTTTGGCTTTGTTTTTCATATTGTACCCAAACAGTGATATAATTCTAAGAGTCACTTTCATAAATTCAAGATTATTTTCAGTAAAAGTTTAAAATATTAAAATATCGTATAAATAATTTTATATAGGACAAAATTTTCTCAAATCAAAGAAAATGAAAGTTTATTACTATAGTTATACTTCAAAATGATCAGTAGTTCAAAAACTAAAGATGCACACATTAAAGGTATATTAGTCATGCATCTCCATTTATTTATTTATTTATTGTTTTTTGAGGCCGGGCTTCACTAATCAGTTCAGGCTGGCCTTGAACTCACTTTGTAGCCAGAGCTGGCCTCTGACTCACGGCAATCCTCCTGATTCAGCCTCTCAGGGGATTATAGACATTCATTACCACACCCAGACTTCTTTCTTTTTAAACTAAGGTGTGATTTGATATGTATAATGTATACATAGTGTGTTAGTCAGCTTTCCATCTCTGGGACAATATATATAACTCATGCAATTTAAAGGAGGAAAAATTTATTTAGCTTGTGATAGCAAAGGCTTCAATCTGCAAATGCTGGCTGTCTTCCTCCTCTCACTTTAGTTCCTGTGCTCCCTCATCCTATTAGATGGTGCTGCCCACATTCAGGACAAGACTCCTCTCCCCAGTTTGCTTACACACATGGCAATAATCTCTTTAAAAAGCCTCATAGAAACAAAAGCATGCTTTAACAATCTCCCAGGTATGTCTCAACACAGTCAAGTTGACAATCAAGACCACTGCCACAAGGAGATGCAGCTTAGCAGCATAGCACTTGCCTGGCAAGCACAGAGTCCTGAGTTTGATTCCTGGTATCAAAGAAAAAAAGGCTATCACCACACAGTATATATGACCTTTCTGAAGAATTTCGTGCATCTCCAAAAGAAGAGAGGAGATTATAAAAATCAGAGCAGAAATTAATGCAATAGAAACTAAGAAAACAATCAGAAGAAGCAATTAATCAAAGAGTTGGTTCTTTGAAACAATAAATAAAATTGATAAGCCCCTAGCCAACTTATTTAAAAAGCCCAAATTCATGCAATAAGGAATGAAAAAGATGAAATCACTAGACTCTGGAAATACAGAAGATCATCACCACCTATTTCAAAAACCTCTACTCTCATAGATTCTATAGCACAAAAGAAATGGACAGATTCCTAGAAACATATGAAGTACCAAATCTGGGTTAAGAAGATA